TTCAACGATGCCGACCCTAGCCTCCCCCGCACGCGGCCGAGGGTGGCCGCCTGCGCCGCCGGGGGGCAGAGCGCCAGCGAGTGCGCGATGACGTTGCCCATCTTCGGGCTCATCTTGGGAATCGGTTCAACGATGCCGAGCTCTGCAGCGCGCTCGGCGCCGTGCACCTCCACCTCCACCAGCCCGTCGAAACCGGGGGGCAACTCTTCCGGGACTGCCGGGGGCACCGGGCGCCCGCCCTCCCCAGGAACCGCGACGGGTGCAGGAGCACGGGCACCATTTCGTTCGAGGACTGCGACCTCGAGAACAACATCCCCCGACCACCGCCTTCCCCCAGCGGGTACTTTCGAACCGCGTTCGAGATGCGCCAGGCCCGTCGTCGTCGCAGCGCTCGCCCGCGGGCGCCGCCGCCGTCGTCGGACCGTCCAAGCGGTCCAACTTCCGCGCCCGCGGAGTCGGCACAGGGCCCCGAGCCATGTGCAACTGCGCTGCGGAAGCCAGAAGCCCGAGGGAGCAAGAAGAAAAGACACGCCGCCCTCATTGAATCTGCATGCGGGCCTGGACCGCGCCAAGCAGTCGTTCTATCCTGAGTCTCGTTCAACCGATCCCCATCCCCAGCGGCGCAGCCTGAGCCCCGCTGGCCGATTCGCCCCCCTAGATGAGGATTTAGGCCGTTTCCTGCGGGTTTCGAAGGGTACATCCCAAAATGGGCGGGTAATTTGGCGGGGGTCTCGAAGAGGATGGGGGCGGGGATGGGAGTTGGATCAACGATGCTGAGCCCTGATTGAATCCGCGCGCGGGTCAGGCGGACCGCGTCAAGCAGTCGTTCTATCCTGAGTCTCGTTTGACCGATCCCCATCCCCAGCGGCGCGGCCTGGGCCCCGCTGGCCAATTCACCCCCCTAGATGGGGACGTAGGCCGGTTCCTTCGGGATTCGAGGGGGGCACCCCCGACTGGGCGGGCAATTTGGCGGGGGTCTCGAAGGGGGGGGCGGGGATGAGGATTGGATGAACAATGCTTGCTGACCCCTGATTGAATCCGCATGCGGGTCTAGCCGACCGCGTCAAGCAGTCGCGCTATCCGACGCCCACGCCGTCGGCGTCGGCAAGGCGCCCCGGACGTTCCGCAACCGCGCCGCGCGGAGGCCGGACGAGGCGCGCGCAGGCACGAGCGGGAGTGCAGAGGAGGGTCACTACACAAGCTTGGTACTACAGTGCGGGCGCGGCCGCAAGAAACCCTCGCAGGAAACCCAACCTTGAAAATCCGCGCGCGAGGTGCACCCGAGGAGAAGCCCAGAGCACCCTGAACGCAGCAACTCCTTCAACGGCCGCGGGAAGTCGCCGCGCGGCGCGAGGAGCAAAGAAACCCGGGATACCCCGACGAAAAACATATGGCTTCTTGATGCGCGCACCCACTGTACTCGTTATCGGTTCTCCGAAGCAAGACCGTCAGTGCTACCGACGCGATCCTTGTTTCCTGGCCGACCTGGACCCCTGCGCGTGCTCCTCTGGACCATCGTGCACTTGGCAGTGCAAGGCACAATGACAATACGACGCACGACGAGTTCTCTTCTCTCGCTGCTATGAGACGGGTTGCTCCGAATGCGGTCCGAGCGCCAATCCCGCGACAGAAGAGAAGACCCAATGCGCCGATGGGGAAGAGCACGCCAGTGACATATGCCCACGACGGCTTCGAGGATCACTGCTAGACAACCATCGTCGGTGGGCAGCAGGACTCGCGCCTCCTCGACGCCCGGATGGGGCCCCACTCCGAATGGAAGGCCATCGGAGCGGGCGTGGTCGTTGCCATCAGCTGCATCGCCTGCGTGGACGCGGGCGGTGGCGGCAACTGCAACATGCGACGCCTCCGCGCGCGGGGGGCCCGAGCAGCAAGCGTCCGTGCGCTTTCAACGCTGGGCGCGGGAGGTAATGGTCTGGCCAGTGGCGGACTCAGACCTCAACGAGTTTCGCCAAGCGGCATACATCTCGTCTCGCATGACCGGCACGGCACGGACCGCCGGCTGTCCCCATACTAACGGCAACCCAGTGCCGCCCATCGTCTGCCTAATGCACAGCTTGGCAGGACGGTGGGGCCATCTTGAAGAGGGGGAGCGCGCGCGGGCGGCATCGGTTCTAATGAACTTCACTAGATTGCGCGCATCGACGACCTCCTCACCAGGCTCGACGCCCTCCGCAACGGGGCGCAAAAGGCCAGTCAACCCATGATCGGCTATGAGGGCCTCAGCTGCCTCGTGCTGCGCGCGGTGCATGCGTCGAGAATCCAGCTCACCATGATCCTGCAGCACTGCAACGTGCCCTACCCGACGAACGCACCGCAGCTTGCACACATCATGGGCCGACTACTGCAGAATTGGACATGCGACCAAAGGATCGCCAAGAAATCTCGCGCCCAAGCGCCAAGCGTTCCTCGCGGGTGCGCCAACGCGCGATGAGGGCAATAGTGCCTCTGACACTTGTGCTGGATGGAGCAGGGATGGCACGAGCCCCTCAGCCCTTGGAGCGCCAGCTGCCAGCAACGCTGGCACATCAGCATCACAGCAGGCGGCACATCCAGCAGCAAATCTCGACTCTGATTCCATCATCTCCTCCGGCGCAGAAGCCGCAAGCCCGCGCACTGTGCGCGGAAGGCCATCGAACGTAAAGCAAGAAGCATGGAATTAAAAATAACCGCGCCTTCCTGGCCTACTTGTCCGACAGCGACCTCCGCGAAACCTTAGCCGGCTCCGCGAAGGGCAGGGGTTAGGGAAATGGCATGTATCGGACCAGCGGAGTGGGATTTGGCCGACAAAGCAAACCAATGGGGGCCGACGAACCGGCAGGAAATCCGCTTCCAGACCTCAATGCGTCCCTCCTCGAAGCAGCCGCCTATATGCGCTGCTCGCGCAACGCCATGTTGCCGTCTACATCGTCGCGCTGCAACGGGCCACAAACAAACGGCTCATCAGGCACATTCTGCAGCTCAAATCCGTTGTTATGGCCACGCAAGAGATCATAGCGCGCATCGTCTTCCCGGCGATGGAGTGCGCAGGCCAGATGTGCGTGCACAGCGTCAGCTCGTTTCCCGCGAAGAGGAGCCAAGATACGACATGCGTAGCGCTGCATGCATGCGTCCGAGCAAGTGCCGCAATAGTTGCAAAAAGGATCTGCCACTTGCTTGACGCTGTGAAACAGGTCGCGCAAACTTGTGTGTAGATCCTGGTTCGGCTCTGAGCTGCCCGCAGCATGTGGTGCAACAGACGGCCTACAGGCGTACCTCCTGACGCTCCATTTGGTGGATCGCGGACCGGCCTCAGCAGATGAGATCAGGAAGCTGAGGGGGCAGGGAGGTTACACTGCACAGGCCGAGCTGGCCGTGGACGGTATGTCCGTCTTCTCCGCCCTGGCCATGGACCACGTGCGGACGCCATCAGAAGAAAGCAGAGCAAGCCACCCATGGTGGACAACAGTCCAGCTGCGCACCAGACAACTATATCCGATATGCTGCGGTGCGACAGCCGCGACATGATGGCCGACCCCGTGACGAAAGGAAGTACCGGCCGGGAGTTCATCCTCGACATCATGGAGAGAACGCTCGCCCACGCACGCCCCACGGTGAGGTTGAGCGAGGAACGGCATAAGAGGACGGTGCCGAGCTCCCAACACAGCGACCTCAACAGGGACAACGACGACGCTACTGGGTAATCCACTCGGCGTCGCATGCCCGAACTGTGCTCGCGAATGCGCCGACCGACTTGCATATCGCGGACTGTGCTCGCGAATGCGACACAGTACATCAAGAAGAGTAGTACACACGTGTTCGCATGTCACAACTATGTTCGCGAACGCAAAGTAGTAAGTCACACACATTGAGAGGTTGTGATCATGGACTGTGTTCGTGGAACAGCTAGCGGTTGAGCGTTGAGCACACGAATGCTGTACTCTGTGATCCACCAAAATATGCTGCCAACCTTTCTGTTCAATCGTGACGCAATTTTATGAGGAACCTGGTCAGTAGAAGGTCCCCTGTGCAGTGCAACTGTTTGTGAGAGGGGGTCAGCACAACCTCCCGCCATTTCCAGTTCAGCACTGCAACTGCTTAGTGTGGCCAATATGTCGGGTCTCGGCGGTGGTCTGGACAATTTGCGTCCGGGCTGCCAACGAGGCACGACGGACCCGTTTGAGCACAATATTCGAACAGTAGGTTACCTAAACTTGTCGGGCGTGGGAGGTTCTTTTTGCTGCCGGTTTGTCTTTAGGTTAGCCTCCCGCGCCCGCTATGATGCACACTTGCTATGATACGCCGCTCTGCACCTCTGTGACACGAGCCATTCTTTTCCCACCACTTGACTGTCTTAGTAGAGAGAGAGGGGGAGAGAGGCGAAACGAAGAGAGCATGCTCACAACGAGGCAACGCTCATTTTGAGAGCCCACGGCATACTATACCGATGCCCAACAAACATTGCACCTCACAGTAATGCTTCCAATGCTTGGCCGAGGAAGAGGAGGAGGAGGAGGAGGAGGAGGAGGAGGAGGAGGAGGAGGAGGAAGGAGAAAGAGTTAGCGGGGGGGACAAAGAGAACGGGAGAAAGGAGGATAGAGGGGGAGGAGGAGGAGGAGGAGGAGGAGGAGGAGGAGGAGGAGGAGGAGGAGGAGGAGGAGGAATAGGGGAGAAGGAGGAGGGCGGGGGAGGGAAGGGGAAGGGAGGAACGAACCTTAGGGAAGAGAGGAGAGGATGAGCACGATGAAAGAGGAGTGTGGGAGGATTTACCGTCGTGCCGAAGACATGCGTCTACGCTCTGCAAGGGGGATGGGAGGAGGCAGGGAGTAGGGAGGAGGCGGGAGGGGAGGGGAGAAGGAGCGAGGAGGTTAAGCGAGGAAGGAGAGAGAGAGAGAGAGAGAGAAAAAAAAAAAAAAAAAAAACGAGAATGACAGAGACGAGGAAACCGACCCTCCCGCAGACGCGACCACGGGCAAGCCGGAATAACGGGCGGGTGGGGGGGCTCGGAGGCAAGACGTCGATCTCGACCTGGCCCGTGCCGATGATCTTGAAGCCGTTTGTTCATCCCTCGTCCTCTTCGACGGCCCATAGTTGCCGACAGCCAACACCTCAAACACAGATGCAACACATAAAACGTGGAAGCCCCACAACAGAAGACGATCTCTCAGATATCAAACCGATTGAAGGGCGAGACCCTCTGGATCTGGTTGGGGGAGATCTGGAGGCCGCGGGGGCCTCCCCAGAATCCTGGGGCACCATGGCCGGGGATACATTGGCGACGCTCCAGGGGAGAAAGAGAGAGAGAGAGAGGCAAAGAGAGAGAGAGAGAGAGAAGAAGACAAAAAAAGGCGTGTTCATGTTCATATCTGTGTATGCATATGTTTTCCCCCAGCGCTGCTTGTATTTGAAGGCTAGGAACTGGGGGGGTCGGTCGGGCGGGCTTGTTGTCGCCCGTCGCCGCCGCTACTGGTCCTGGTTGTCGGTCGCCGCGCTTGTTGTACTCGTGGCCGCCCGTCGTCGCCGTCCGTCGCTGCTGTCACTGGGCCTGGTTGCCGGTCGCTGCGCTTGTCGTCGCCTGTCGCCGCGCTCGTAGTCGCCCTTCGCCGCCCGTCGCCGCCGTCCGTCGACGCACCACATATACCGCATTACGCCGACTGCACCAGGTGGGTTTTTTTACCACGTAGATTGCACCACACGCCTGGCATCATGGACCTCACGTCGCGTAGATTGCACCACATACGTTTTGCACCACACTCACTGCATTGTTCACACCACGTAACTTGCATTGGATACACTGCACCCCTTTTGTTGGTACCACATAGGGTGCACATAGACTGCCCCACATCACTTCTACTCTGCATTGGAACTGAAATTAATCACCCCCTCGAAGCCAGGATTATCCGCTCCTCTGGGGGATGTGCAATTTTCATATGGTTTTGCCCCATCGCTAATTTTCTTCAGTACGAACACGTCTCATCCCAGCTATATCTGGTACCGACCACCCACCTCATCCTCGTCGAATAAGCATATGCGCGCGCACTCGTGCATCAAAAACGATCAAGCTGCATGATTCCGCGCACGCGGTGGGACGACAGAACATCAACAACAACGAATCAACAACAGCGATTACTTTGGTTGCATTTGCATCGGCAGCGACCAATGCACAACACATTGGGACGAGGTGCGTACGCGTGCGTCGTCGTGCGCGCATGCAAACCCATTTCTTGTCGTCGCCAATTGTGTATTTCCTTTTTTTCTTCAAATTCTCCCCCCCTTCAACAAAAACACGTTCGGCAGCAATTTTAAGATAGTGGTTCCCGAAAACACATTTAACCAAACGTATGGTTCTGTAGCGGGACGCTTCAAAAAGATTATGCGCGCGCTCTTGGCGATTTGCTTATTTTAAAATGCATGTTCGCCAAATTTGGCCTGACGCGTTTGTTTTGCGCGCGCGTGCCGAGATCATTCGAACGCTCTTGCGCGCTCGGGGGGGGGAGGACAATCCCTGTCGTATCTTACCACGCGGGCACGCGGGCCGCTCGCGCTCGCCGGCCGCGCGCGCTTGTCGAAATCCCTCCAAACTTTCATCGTCGACGCGTGGACACCATCATCGTCACTGGCTTGATCAGCATGGGCGCCGGCATTGGCCTTATCGTCGTCATCGTCACCGTCGTAACCAGCGTCGCCACTATCATCTTCACCATAACAACCAACATCAAGATCATCCTCATCACCATCGTGACTAGGTTATCATCATCAGGTCTGCCGCTGACGACGTCGCCATGATATCGCGCCCGCCCGAAGCACCCATTCGCACTGAAAGGCCCGCGCGTCAGCGCGGCCTGCGAGACGCGCTGTGGAGAACCCAGGAATCAGCGCCACCGCGGCCGCGTCGGTCGCGCTGGACTAGCTGGCCTTCTTGTGCGCGAGCCTGCGCGTGTCAGCGCGGCCGCAGCGATGCGCCAGTTAGCGCCAAGCAGACATCGCAATCGCCACCGCGTGGGTCCTGCAAACCAAGTTACAGGCGTGTGGGATAAATGCTTGCGCGAGCAGTGGAATTGTTAACTTCACGCTCAGCAGGCTAAATTGCGCCACGTAGTTTGCACCACATAGGTTGCCAGACACACGCTGCTTGAGGTCCGCGCTGGCCACCAATATAGGTAAATTGGCATGTTGGGACGCAACAGCTCTGTGCTCCACCGAACTACGTGGTGCAATACATGTGGTACAATCTACGTGGTGCACTCGCTGTGGTGCAGTCTACGTGGTGCAACATGTGCGGTGCAAGCTTTGTGGTGCAACATCTGTGATGAAATTAGGTGGTGCAATCTAAGTGGTGAGCTCTATGTGGTGCTATCTAGGGCGGCGACGACGACCACATAGCCGCCAGACCGACGGGCGGGCCCAGAAAACGGGCGGCGACGAGGCGTCGACGGCGACCAAGTATCTGCCGGACCGACGGGCAGGGCAGGCCTAGCTCCTCAAAAAAAAATTATAAGCACTGTGTGAATGAATGTGTATATATGTATTAGCATCATCGCGCGCTTCGCGCGCGCTCAAGTTCTAGCTAGGCTTGATGGGCGAACTCATGACGGTTCATGCTTGTCGTTGATTGCATCCAGTGACACTCATCGAGGTCCTGCGCAAGCCTCGGAATCGTATAGAGGGGGAAATGAGGAAACGCAGAAATCATTAATTCCCGGTAGGTGTTCAACGATTTGGGGCCCTGAAAGGCTTCCTGGGTTCTTTTCTGGGAGGTGAAGGGGGGCCTTAATGGTGGTCTGTTATGCAAGTGTAGACAGGGGGGCGAATTTGAAACAAAAGACTTGTGCGATTCTCCTTTGTTTTCAAGTTGCCGTGCCTGGGCTGTGGGTTAGAAGCGTTCTGGATGCAGGCCACGGTCTGCTGGGATGCCTCTCGGGGTCTTCGTGCAAAAATGAACAGGGGGTGAGTTTGAAACAAATGATTTCCACAGGTAGGTTTTTTCAACTCATGGGATCATAGGATATCGATGTCTACGGTGGTTCAGGGGCAGCCAAAGAGGACACGAAGACGACCCAAGAGACTGCCAAGACAGCGTCAGAGAGTTCAACAACATTCCCGACATATCTTTGCATGTGACCCCGAAGTCTTCATGGGGCTCGGGATGAACTTGAACAAAACGAGGATGACTGGATTTTTTGTCACATGGGTCCTCACATGCAGTACGCAGGAATCGGGGGAGGCCTAAGAGGCGTGTGTGGGGGCTAGGCCTCTGCGGGGCTGTTTGGGGGTCTTTTTTCTGGATGTGGGCACCTCTCGTGCGATGGCACTCCGAGGCAAGGGGACCTAGACCCCTAGACGCACCAGGCATTGGCTGCACGTCAGACGAGCGTCAGCGGCAAGTCCAGCTCGTGGCGTCGAAGGGATGAGCGGGCTGCGCGCACAAGCGCAGGACTGCCAGGAAAATCCCCTGACTGGCAAATTGGCATGGCCATTTAGAACAGCATCCAGTTCTGGTAGCGTGCCTGCGCTGCTGCAGACTGCACTTTGGCGCCAGACGCCAACCGTTCCTGGAGTCACCCTCGTGGAATCTAGCGCCGCCGCGAAGGGCTGTTTGGGGGCCTCTTGGGGCCACTTTTGGGCCTCTAGCGTTGGAAGCTTGAAAACGCGAGAAAACCAATAACCTAGAACGAATAATGAAAACCAGCGATTTGGGTGTCTTCGGGGCGGCGGCCTTTCCCCGACCTCGAGTGACTTTCCCCTTCCTCGGGCCTTCTTGGGATCTCCCAAGGCCAGGGCCGTCTTCCGCATACAGGGGAGAACAAATAAACCCACCTCATTTTTCTGGGTGCCCTCTCTTCCCTGGGAGCCTACGAGGGCCCCGAGGAGGCCCCAAGAGCGCTCGGGCACTTTTTTGCAGGAAGGCCCCGACAAGACCCCGAGAACGCCCGAAAAAGAGGCGTCTTGGGCACCTCCGGACTCCTCCCCCTCCCCCGCCGGGAAGGGGCGGGGAGGGGCTCACCCCTCCCGCCGTCGCGCCGTCGCCCTCGCCGTCGCCGCTCTCGCCGCCGCTCCAGCCGGCCGGCCTGCCGCTCCCCCCGCCGCCCCAGACGTCGGGGCACGATTTGCCTTCAATCCGCGGCCCCAGGAGGCCCCGACCCCTCCCCGGAGGTTGCGAGCCTCTTGGGCCGTCTTGGGACCTGTCTAGGCTCCTGGGGGCTCCGAAAATCCCCCATGGAGGCTCCAAGAGATGCCAATGATGGTCCCTTCCCCTCCTTCCTCCTCTTCCTCCTTCTCCTCCTCCTTCTCCTCCCTCCTCCTCCTCCTCCTCCTCCTTCTCCTCCCTGCTCCTCCTCCTCCTCCTCCTCCTCCTCCTCCTTCTCCTCTCCTCCCTGCTCCTCCTCCTCCTCCTCCCCCTCCTCCTCCTTCTCCTCCTCCTCCTCCTCCTCGAACACACCCGGTATCATGTACCAGCCGAGGGCCCGGTGGTGCATGATTGCCGCGGCCCTCCTGGGGCCTCCTGGAGATCTCCCGGGGCCGCCTGCCGGCCTTTTTGGGGCCCCTCTCGGCGCCTTTCCGCGGACCTCGTCCGGCTCTGGGTGGCTCGAGAATTCTCCCACGGAGGCTCCAAGAGAGGCCCCGAGATGGCCCCGAGAGTTCATACTTGCCGTGGCCCCTCCTGGGGCCTTCTGGGGCCGCTCGGAGGTCTCTGGAGGCCTCCTGCTCCCCCTCCTCTTGGGCCCATCTTGGGCCTGTTCTGGGGTGGTCTGGGGCTGTCCTGGGCGCCTCTTCGGCAATCTTGGGGCCTTATTGGCCCGTCTTAGGGGCCATTTTAGGTTCTCCGGGCGCTCTCGGGAAGACTCTCGGAGCTCTCTGGAGGCCTCTTGTCTTGGATGCTTCTTGGGAACCTGGAGAGCCGTCCGAAGGCTATCTTGGGTTGCTTGGGGGATTGAGACCTCGATCAACCAGCACCCCTGGCGTCCCCCCCTACTCGTGTTGAGAAAGTGCCACAGATGCCGTCCCCTGTGAGCCTGGAGCGTTTAGGGACCGCGATGAGGGACCACCCCCTGCGCACCCCTTTTTTGGTGCAGAGCACATGTCACGCCTGCCGCGCTCTGCGACCCTGGCACGGGTAACAAACCCACCCCCTGCGGACCCACCTCGTGTGCCGAGAACACGCCACGCTTGCCGCGAATCTGCGGCCCTAGCACGGATAGCGCCCCCACCCCCTGCGGACCCCCATTCGGGTGCCGAGAGCACCACGTCTGCCATGGTTTGCGGCACTGGCGCGGGAAGCGTCCGATAATTAAAGAAATCGCACCAACTAGGACGGATTCCAACCATGTCGGTCCCAATCCCAACCGAATGGTATCAACTACAACCGGTGTTCAAAGGGTTGTTTGCTTTCAGGTTTCTTAGATGCTCCTTAGAGGCACCTTGATAAACACTTTAGAAGCTCCGTAGCAACTCCTTAGAGGCTCCTTAGAAGCTCATGAGAAGCTCCTTAGAAGCTCCCTAGGCGCTACTTAGAGGCTTATTAGAAGCTCCTGAGATGCTCCTATGAAGCTCCTTAAAGGCTCCGTAGAAGCTCCGTAAAGGCTCATTGAAGCCTCTCCTTAGATGCTCCTTAGAAGTTCCTCAGAGGGGCTCCTGCCTGAGGGGCTCCTTAGAAGCTCTTCAGAAGCTACTTAGCTTCTTCTGAGAGCCTCCTTAGGGGCTCCTTAGAGGCTCTTTCGAATCTCCTCCCAGGCTCCTTAGAAGATCCCTACAGGCTCCTTAACAGCTCCTTAGAGGCTCATTAGAAGCTCCTCCTAGGCTCCTCAGCAGAGCTCCGTAGAGGCTCCTTAGAAGCTCCTTTGAAGCTTCTTCAAGGCACCTCAGAGGTTCCTTTGAGAAACTTCCAGGGTTTCTGGAGGATGCCTGGAGGTTTCTAGAGGATTGCTGGAAGACGTCTGAAGGACTTCTGGAGGCTTCCTGGTGGATGTCTGAAGGATTTCTGTGAAAACCTTGGGACTCCTGGAAGAAGAGAATGAGGAGGAGGAGAAGAGAGGCAGGAGACGAGGAAGGACGGAACGGCCGAGGACAACGAGGGTGATACACCAGGCTTTCGATATGTGTTGTGATGAAAGGTGTGTAGGTACGTATTGTGAGTATGCTGTTGTGTTGGACACGTGTTGTTGCTTTGGGGTGATATGTGTTGTTGTGAATTGATGTTGCAAACCAACACAACTCCCAGACCACAGAAAATAGGCTAGTACCAACGACAACCGGGGCCCTCATGTTGACTCGACGAATGAATGTGTATACTCGAGACGTTAATTTGATGTCTGGATCGTCTTGAAATGCTGTACACAGAGGAATCCCAGTGTAGGCCCAAGATGGCCGGTTGTAATGTGTACCAGTTAGTTGTGTTGCCGGTGGAGAAGTGGCCAAGTGGGTTGTACTTGGAACCAATCGGTTGGGATTGGTCCGACATGCGGTAGCGTCCGTCCCCCCCCCCGTTGACCTCCTATGGTGCCAAGAACATGCAACGTCTGCAACGCTTTGCGGCCCTGGCACGGATAGCACCCCAACACCCTGCAGGCACCCTCTGGTGTCAAAAACGTGCCATGCATGCCACGCTTTGCTGCTCTGGCACGGATAGCGCCCCCACATCCTGCGGACCCCCCTGACGACGAGCAACTGCAACGCCTGCGATGAATTCGCGACTCTGGCACGGATACAGTCAACCCGTGACATAAGGGCGCACGGTAAGGATGCAAGGTCCTTGGAAGGCCGTGCCGACACTTTGCGAACGGGGCGCGGCCAGCGAAAGCGGTCAAGGATGGGTCGCAGGGGAAGGATGCAAGGTAACCTTGGAAAGTTGCTGATCCATACTATGCGGGTTGACTGTAGCGCCCCCATCCCCTGCGGACCCTCTCTGGTGTTGCAAAAGTGCCACGCCTGCCACGAAGTCGCGACCCTGGCACGGAAAACGCCCACGCACGCTGCGGGCTCCTCTCTCGTGACGGAAAGGGGCAACGGCCATGCTTTCGACCCTGAACCGGATAGCGCTCCCACTCCCCTTTGGCGCCAAATATGTGCAACGCCTGCCATGCTTTGCGACCCTGATACGGATGGCGTCCCCACCTCCTGCGGACCTCCCTTCTGTCATCGAGAAAGAGCCGCGCCTGTCGCGAATTCGCGACCCTGACACGGCTAAGGCCACACACACATAATGCGGACCCCTCTCTGGTGTCGAGAATGTGCCACGCCTGCCAAGCCCCGCGAGCCTGGACCGTATAGAGACCATGCTCAGGGACCACCTGGGTGTCGAGAAAGTGCAACGTCTGCCGTGTTCTGCGAGCCTGGACCGTACAGAGACCGCGATCAGGGACCACCGCCTGTGCACCCCCCTCTGGCGTCAGATGTGTTGTCGGGTGTGCTGTCTGTGCGGGATGTGCATAATAAAATATACATATGTGACGTGCGCCTGTGTTGTGTTGTGTTGTGTGTTCGTTTGGGTGTGGTCTGATGTGCGCGTGCGTCTCAGGTTTGTGTGGGCGAGAAGGAGAGGGGGAAGGGGAGAATCAGGAACGCAAGTGCGACGTGGGTTGGAAGAAAACCAACCAGACTTAACACGCTGGAGCAAATGTTGAAAACGAAGGGATGACGCGCAAGGTAACTAGTCAACGGCAGGCAGCGCACTGCGAATGAGAAGGACACGTGGAAGGGATGTGAATATGTACTGAGAGTCATCGTGCCTCCGTAAGGACGATGTATAAAGTCACCGAGGACAACCCTTTGGAGCCACCACGGCCCCCCAAATAGCCGCCGAATTCCAAAGGAGTTGCGCGATAAATTTTTCTTGTTTGAAAGCATGCAGCGCTGGGCGCGTAGGCCAGCCTGTAATGCCCCCTGACGAGCATCCACGTTGAACCAAACATTACCGCGGCCGTCGCCATCATCACCGCCAAAACCACAAGGTAACAAATGTTACAATCATCGTCGGGCTGAGGTCAAGTCAGTCTGCGTCGCCGCACATCGACTCTTTACCGAAGCTGAGCGCCGCGAGCCCCCAGCAGCATTCGTCGACAGCTGTCAAAAGCAAAACCGCCGAAATGGTCCTTGAAAGGGCCGCCAGGAGGGCCGCCGAAAGGGCCGCCGAAATCGTCGCCGAAATCGCCGCCGAAATTGCCGCCGAAATTGCCGCCGAAATCGCCGCCGAAATTGCCGCCGAAATTGCCGCCGAACTTGCCGCCGAACTTGCCGCCGAAATTGCCGCCGAAATTGCCGCCGAAATAATTGCGAACTCCGTCAAAATAGCCGCCAGAAATCAGCCGCCGAAATCGCAGCCGAAATTCAGCCGCCGAAATTTTTATTACCCCGTCGCAAGCGAAATCGATGTTCCAGTAAGCGCGATGACGCCGCAGACACAGGCATAGAGTCACAGCCAAGGTCAAATTCGGTCTTTTCTCGGCGGAACCATTTGGAATTTCGGCGGCAATTTCGGCGGCAATTTCGGCGGCAATTTCGGCGGCAATTTCGGCGGCGATTTCGGCGGCAATTTCGGCGGCAATTTCGGCGGCAATTCTGGCGGCCCTTCCGACGGCTCTTTCGGCGGCTCCTTCGGCGGCAATCTCGGCGGCTCTTTCGACGGCTCTTTCGGCGACCATTTCGGCGACGATGATTTTGCCAACTGTCGACAATGGCTGCCGGAAGCTCGCGGCACTCGGCGACCCCGGCGGGCCCTGAGAGGGCCCTCGAAGGGCCTCGCCAGAAAGCGTCTGCGAAGTAGCTCAAGCCATGCGTGATTTGCACGCGATAGCATGCGCAACGTGCAATGTGAATGCCTCGCATTATACGTCAGCACGCTCTAAGGTGCGTCTGGGAACCACCGCGCGGCAGGGCGCGCCTGCACACTGAAACTCTGAGAAAAACCTCAATTTCGTCTAGAATGGATTTCGGCGCGCGCCCCTTTTCGTCTCCAAAGAAAGAGCCACTATGATATAAAGAAACGAAGGGCCTTTCCTGGCCTCGGCGAGGCTCGCCCACGCAAAGTTTCCCGACCTAGATTGAAGAAACGGCTCGAACCTCAGGGCCACTCCTTAGCCGCAAATGGGCCTGAATTTAACGTCTCGACCGTAATTTTGACTGCCCCTTGGCGTGGAACACCGCTTCCCGCTTTCCCTGCCGCTGCTGCTGCATAACCGAAGCAAAATTGTCCTGGCCGTCCGAATTCGAGATGGGGATCATGACCGGAATGGCCTCCAGCGGGATGCGGGGGAGGGATGCGGAGCGCGGACGAGGAAGGGAGGAAAAGGCCCGAGATGGGGGGAGACGGGGGAGGCACGAGGGCGGGGATAGGGGATGTGAGGGGAAAGAGCCAAAGGAAACAGGAGATGGCGAGGAGGGTGCGGGGAGAGGGACAGTGGGGAGGGGAGAGCGCTGGGGGTGATGAGGGTAATCAGGAGGGTAGGAAGGGAAGAGCCATAAGTAGGCGGGAGGTGGAGGAGCTTAGGGAAGGGAGGGGAGGGCGAGGAGTAAAGGAGGGGGAGGATAAGGGGGGAACGACGATGCCGACGACACCAGCGCCGCCGCAGCCGACGACCCATGCGCCCCCTACAGCCGACGGCCTTCAGGGACTGCGTCGCCTGCTTCGACATCTCGTCGAAGCTGCTCAGCGCAGAGGTCTGGTCCCAAGCGACCGGCGGCATGTTTCCGCTCCCTGCCGCGCCCCCCCGCTCATCCGCCCGCCGACGGCCTGTCCGCCCTCCGCCTCATCCACCCCCCCCTTCCTTTCCTCCTCACTCTGCTCCCTCTCCTCCTTTTTCTCCTGCCCACCCCCTTCCATTTAGCTTCCTGCCCTTTTCCCTCCTCCGTACGCGTATTTCAAGCGGTCCCTTCTCCTCCTTTTCCTTGCCATTCTCCTCCTCGTAACCCCCGTCCTCCCTCCCCATAGCCCCTTCTCGAGGAAGACTGGGAATTTTCCTAATGCGGCGTTCGCCCGAGCGTCGCGCGCAACAACTTGAACATATTCAGGTGCAGGCGTGCCGAGTGAATGTGCGCGTCGACGGACTGGGTTGCCACTCCCGCCGCTGCAAGCTTTGCCGGACTGGGTCGGGTCACCATTCCCCCAAAAGGAGGACTGGTATGCCATGCACGACACTCTCACCGCAACGTTGACGGTTAGGAAGCTTGGAAAGAAAACAATACTGAGAAATTGCGGCTTTGTTTATGAGCTGCATGTCTTGGAATAGCGCAACAACGAAAGCATCAAGTATTTGATCAAGCATTCGGCCTCAGAGCTTCTGACCTCACCTGGCGCGCCTCCACCGTCTCACGATAGCGCATGGGCATTGCGATGCTGCACGTGTGTGCGTTGTGCCCAATGAAACTGTGAGCGCGAGGCGGGTTGGCCACAACGTGTGACCCTGATCACGCCAGCCGATCATTCCACAGGGGGCAGTGGGGGCGCACCCGCCTTTCAGACTAATCCCAACCAGCTGGGACAACTCCAAATCCATTGGTACTTTCTCCAATCAGCACGGCATGACAAACTGTAACTAATTCCAGGCGGCCGAACCTCACCATATGAGTTTCGTTGTAAGGTGATAAACAAACTGATCGGCTTTGTTGCGCGCATTTATCACAGGAGCTACCACGACAGCCCGGCGTGAAATTGGTGCCATAACGGTTTGCGATGCTGCGTGGCTCAAGATGAGGATGTGGATAACGGTGCCAATGCAAACACACATACCTTCTACAAAAAAGACTACGTATACTGCCCGGTCAAGCCAGACAACCCTCAGTGATGGAAAGGGTAAGTGTATCAGCGTGTAGTTGTGGACGATGCTCGAGCGAAAGCGCCCTTCGCCATCAGGGATCGCCCCCCGACGACTGCACAGTTCCCCACCCAGGATGTGGCCAACGGTAAGGCGTGAGCACCATGCGCAACCTTGCCCCCCCCACCACTCCCTGCGACTCCTCTGCCTGCTCATCCTTCGGTCAAAGCATGAGGAGGGGGAGGCCGAGGAACGAAGAGGAGCCTGTGGAATGAGGAGGCCTTCTTCAGAGGCCTCCGAAAAGCCGCCCCAAAGAAGCTCCGACGAACCCTCACAACGACTAGGCTGCACGTGGTCAAGACGCGCACTACGCGAAGCAAGAAGAATCTCGCACGCAACATCTATGAATCTAGCGTTGCGACATGTGCGCCTGCAAGACGCCTGAAAGACGTCTCGCACGGGCGCCTGTAAGACGCCTGTAAGACGCCTCGAAGAGACGCCTGCAAGACGCTCCGCAAGCGCCTCGCAGAGGCACCTGGAAGATCGCTCGCAGGGGTGCGTGTAAGACACGCCTGTAAGACGCCTCGCAAGGGCGTCTGTTAGACGCCTCGCAAGGGCGCCTGTAAGAATCCAGGAAGACGCCTCGCAGAGACGCCCGCAAGACCCCTGTAACCGGCCCGCTGACGCGCCTGCAGCACCCCTGCAAATCGCCTCGCGAACGCGCCTGTAAGGCGCCACGCAAAGTCGCCTGTAAGACGCCTCGCAAGGGCGCCTATAAGACGCCTGCAACACGACTCGCACAGGCACCTGTGACACACTTCGCAGATGCATCGCGCAGAGGCGCCTGTAAGACGCCTGTAGGAAGGCGTTTCGTATAGAGACGCGGGTAAGACGCTTCGCAGGCGCCTGCGAAACGCCTCGCAGACGCCTCGCAAGGTTGCCCGTAAGATGCCCCGCAACGAGACGCCTCGCAGAGGCGCCTGCAAAACGCCTCGCAGGCGCCTCGCAACGGCGCATGTAAGGCGTGCCGCAAAGGCGCCTGTAAGACGCCTCGCAGAGGCGCCTGCAAGACGCCTCGCAAACGCCTCGCACGGGCGCCTGTAAGACGCCCAGCAAGGGCGCCTGTACGACGCATGTAAGACGCCTCGCAGAGGTGCTTGCAATACGCCTCATAAGCGCCTCTCAGAGGCGCCTGCAATACGCCTCGCAGACACACCTGTACGACGCCTCGCAGAGGCGCCTGTAAGGCGCCTGTGAAACGCCTCGCGGGCGCCCCGAAAGTGCGCCGGCAAAGCGACTCGCAAGGGCGCCTGTAAGACGCCTCGCACGGGCGCGTGTAAGACGCCTGCCTCGCAGAGGCGCCTCTAAGACGCCTGTAAGACCACTTGCAAGGGCGCCTCTGAGGCGCCGGCAAGAAGCCTCGCGCAGATGCCTGTAAGACGGCTCACAGGGGCGCTTGCAGGACGCCTATAAGACGCTTCGCAAAGACGTTTATAAGGCGCCCCGCACCAGCTTTTAAGCTAGGTTGGTTGGAGTTGATACCAACATGGTTGGGAACAATACTTAGTTAGTTGAGATTCGTGCTAACATGGTTGCCTTGGTAATTGGCTATGGTTTGTCCAATTGCTGGGAGCCCCCCTCGCCAGAGCGGAGCCTGCGAAGCCAGGACCCGAAAAAAAACCCTGACCGAACATCCCCACAGAGCTCCCGCTTGAGGCCCCGCACGTTGGATGTGGCCTCTCGGGCCACCCGCCCTACGGAGGTTGCGGAGCCTAGAGAACCTAGAGATGCAAGTGCAGACTCGCTAGAGCACAACAGAAGCCGACCCACTCGAGCTCATGTGCCAATCCGTCCCACGACTCCTGATCACAGCATAATGACACATCGCAAGATGGGCATTCGCAAACCTGCGGCCCGAGGCCAAAGACTCACGCTTTCTTTTGGCAACACAAGGCGAAGGGTGCACAGGCTGGCCACGAGCTTGCATCCAGCCGCTCCGAGCTTGGAGATGACATGGTAGCTGGCTGGCACCCAGCGCCTGCGGACTGATGTAGTCAATAACGCTCGAATGCTGAGCGCCGGTTGAGCTTCCGCCATACCCACCAACAACCGGTAGACGAACACCCTCGCCAACGATGCGGCAAGCGAGCATCCCGCCTAGATGGCAGGGCCCAACGGTCGCAGGGGTCGCTCTCACTTCCCGCATCGCGTAGTAGTAGTAGCAGCAGCAACAGCAGCAGACGTAGTAGTAGTAGCAGCAGCAAAAGAAGTAGTATTACAAGTAGTAGTAATACTAGCAGTAGCAGAAGTAGTAGTCGTAGTAGTAGTCGTAGTAGTAGTAGTAGTAGTAGTGGTAGTAGTAGTAGTAGTAGTAGTAGTGGTAGTAGTAGTAGTCGTAGTCGTAGTCGTAGTCGTAGTAGAAGTAGTAGTAGTAGTAGTAGTAGTAGTAGTACTACTACTAGTAGTAGTAGTAGTAGTAGTAGTGGTATTAGTACTAGTAGTAGTAGTAGTAGTAGCAGTAGTAGTAGTAGTCGTAGTAGTAGTAGTAGTAGTAATAGTAATAGAAGTCGCAGAAGTAGTAGCAGTAGTAGTAGTAGTAGTAGTAGTAGTAGTAGTAGTAGTCGTAGTAATAGCAGCAGTAGTAGTAGTAGTAGTAGTAGTAGTAGTACTAGTAGTAGTAGTAGTAGTAGTAGTAGTAGTAGTAGTAGTAGCAATAGTAGTAGTGATGGTACTCGTAGCAGTAGTTGTAGTAGTAGCAGCTGTAGTGGTCGTCGAACTCGCAGTATCACTAATATGAATTCGTGGTAGAAGAAATAGTAGTAATAAAAATGGAATGCTCGTAGTAGTGGTCGTAGTAGTTATAGTAATAGAAGTAGTAGTAATACAACTAATAGTCGCGTAGGTCGCAGTTTTAGGCGTAGTAGTAGCAGCGGTAGTGTAGAAGCAGAAGTAATAATAGTATTAGCAGTAGTCGTAATACTAGTGATGCTAATATAGTAGCAACAGCAGTCGTAATGGTAGTAGTCGTAGTCGTGGTAGTAGTAGTAGTAGTAGTAGCAGAAATAGTAGTAGTAGAAGCCGTAGAAGTAGCAGTAGCAGCAACAGTAGTGATAGTAGCAGTAGTAGTAACAGTAGTGGATGTCTTGTTCGTAATATGTGTAGTAGTAGTAGTAGTAGTAGTAGTAGTAGTAGTAGTAGTAGTAGTAGTAGTAGTAGTAGTACGTAGTAGTAATACGTAGTAGTAGTAGTACGTAGTAGTAGTAATAGTAGTAGTAGTAGTAGTCGGTAGTAGTAGTAGTAGTAGTAGTAGTAGTAGTAGTAGTAGTAGTAGTGGTGGTAGCAGAAGAAGAAGTAGTAGTAGTAGTAGTAGTAGTAGAATGCCAGTGAATGTAGTAGTCGTTGTAGTAATAGTAGTAGTACTAGTAGGAGTAGTCGTAGTAGCAGTAGCAGTAGTAGTAGTAGTAGTAGCCGCAAGCAGTAGTGGTAGTAGTAGTAGTAGTAGTAGAAGTCGTAGTAGCAATAAGGAGGTACTGAGAGTAGCAGTAATCATAGTAATGGTCGTCGTATTCGTTATGTTAGTAGTAGTGGTAGTAGTAGTAATGATAGCAAGAGTAGTCGTAGCATAATACTCGTAGTAGTAGTAGTAGTAGTAGTCGTAGTAGTAGTAGTAGTAGTAGTAGTAGTGGTGGTAGTAGTATTAGTGGAAGTAGTAGTAGTAGTAGTAGTAGTAGCAGTAGTAGTAACAGTAGTAGCAGTAGTCGGCGTAGTGATAGTATGTCGTAGGAGTAGCAGTAGCAATAGTAGTAGTAGAGATCGTCGTAGTAGTTGTGGTAGTAGTAAGAATATTAATAGTAGCAGTCGTGAAAAATCATAGCAGTATTAGTAGCAGTAGCAGTAGTAGTGGTAGTAGCAGTAGCAGTAGTGGTAGTAGCAGTAATAGTCGCAGTAGTAATAGTAGTAGTCGTAGTAGTGGCAGTAGTACTCGTAGCAGTAGTGGTAGTAGTAAGGGTAGTGGTCACCGGATTCGTAGTATAAGTAGAAGGAGAGATCGTAGTAGTAGTAGTAGTAGTAGTAGTAGTAGGGGTAAGCGTAGAAATAGTAGTAGTAGTAGTTCAATACTCGTAGTAATAGTAGTCGTAGTCGTAGTAGTAGTAGTAGTGGTAGCAGTAGTAGAAGTAGTAGTAGTAGTGTGGTAGTGGTGGTGGTAGTAGTAGTAGTAACACGAGTAGTAGTAGTAATAAGGATCGTAGTAGCAGCAGTAGCAGTAGTAGTAGTAGGAGTAGTAGTAGTAGTCGGTGTAGTAGTAGTCGTCGTCGTAGCGATAGCAATCATAACCGTGGTAGTTGTACTAGTAGTAGCCGTAAGAAGTAGTAGCAGTAGTAGTAGTAGTAGTAGTAGTAGTAGTGGTAGTAGTAGTAGTAGTTGAAAGGTAGTAGTACCTGTAGTAGTTGTAGTAGCCGTAGTAGTAGTAGTTGTAGTAGAACTAATCGATAGAGTAGTGGTAGTAGTAGTAGTAGTAGTAGTAGAAGTATGTTACTCGTATTAGTACTAGTAGTCGTAGTAATCTTAGCAGTCAAAATACTAGTAGTGGTAGTAGTAGCAGTAGTAGAAGAAGATATACACGAGGCAAATGTGGTAGTAGTAGTGGCAGCAATAGTAGTAGCAGTAGTAATGGTAGTAAACATAACAATAGTAGTAGTAGTAGTAGTAGTAGTAGTAGTAGTAGTAGTAGTAGTAGTAGTAATAGTAGTAGTAGTAGTAGTAGTCGTCGTCGTGGAAATAGTACTGGGAGTAGTAGCAGTAGTAGCAGTAGTAGCAGTAGCAGTAGCAGTAGTAGCAGTAGTAGTAGCAGTCGTAGTCGTAGCAGTAGTCGTGGTATTATTAGTAGTAATAGAAGTACTAGTAGTAGTAATAGTAGTAATAGTAGTAGTAGTAGTAGTAGTAGTGGTAGTAGTAGTAGTAGTAGTCGTCGTAGCCGTAGTGGTAGTAGTAGCAGTAGTAGTAGTAGCAGCCGTAGTAGTAGTAGTAGTAGTAGTAGTAGTAGTAGTAGTAGTAGTAGTACTAGTAGTAGTAGTAGTAGTAGCAGTAGGAGTAGCAGTAGTAGTAGTAGCACCAGTAGTAGTAGTAGTAGTAGTAATATTAGTAGTAGTAGTCGGAAAAGAAGGAGGAAGAGTCGTTTACGTAGTATCAGTCAAAGTGGCGATAGTCGTAGTAGTGGTAATGGCCGTAGAGTTAATAATAGTCGTAGTAGTCGTCGGAGTAGAATACTCGTAGTAGTGTAGTAGTAGTAGTAGCAGTAGCAGTAGTAGTAGTAGTAGTAGTAGTAGTAGTCGTCGTAGTCGTAGTAGTAGTAGTAGTAGTGGTGGTAGTAGTAGTCGTGGTAGTAGTAGTCGTAGTAGTAGTAGTAGAAGTAGAAGTAGTAGTAGTAAGAGTAGTAGTAGTCGTAGGAGTAGTAGTAGTAGTAGTAGTAGTCGTAGTACAAATTGTAGTAGTAGTAAAAGTAGTAGTAGTAGTAGTAGTAGTAGTAGTAGTAATAGTAGCAGTAGTAGTACTAGTAGTAGTAGTAGTGATAGCAGTAGTAGGATAGTAGTAGAAATAGCAATAGTAGTAATAGAAATAGTAAGATAGTAGCTGTAGTAGTAGAAGGCCAGTCGTAGTAGTAGTAGTAGTAGTAGTAGTAGTAGAAGCAGTAATAGTAGTAGTAGGATTCGCCGTAGTAGTAGGGGTCGTAGTCGTAGTCGTAGTAGTAGTTGTAGTAGTAGTAGTAGTAGTAGTAGTAGTAGTAGTAGTACTCCTAGTAGTAGTAGTAGTAGTAGTAGTAGTAGTAGTAGTAGTAGTAGTAGTAGTAGGAGTAGGAGTAGAAGTAGTAGTAGTCGTAGTAGTAGTAATAGTAGTCGTCGTTGTAGTAGTAGTGGTAGTAGTACTAGTAGTAGTGGTAGTAGTAGTAGTAGTAGTAGTAGCCGTAGTAGTCGTAGTAGTCGTAGTAGTAGTAGTAGTAGTATTAGTCGTAGTAGTAGTAAAAGTAAAAGTAGTAGTAGTAGTGGTAGTAGTGTGAGAAGTAGTAGCAGTCGTCGTCGTCGTAGTAGTAGTAGTAGTAGCAGTAGTAGTGGTAGTAGTAGTAGTAGTAGTAGTAGTAGTAGTAGTAGCAGTAGTAGTAGTAGTAGTAGTAGTATTAGTACTGGTAGTAGTAGTAGAAGTAGAAGTAGAATCAGTAGCAGTAGTCGTAGCAGTAGTAGTAGTGGTAGTAGGAGTAGTGAGAGTAGTAGTAGTAGTAGTAGAAGTAGCAGCAGTAGTAGTAGTAGTAGTAGTAGTAGTAGTAGTAGTGGTAGTAGTAGTAGTAGTAGTAGTAGTAGTAGTTGTAGTCGGAGTAGTAGTCGTCGTCGTCGTCGTACGAGAAGGGCGAATAGCGCCCCGCTATGCGCGAAGCGTGGTTCTCTTCGCGCCCTCGCGCCTCGCGCGCGCGAACAGGCCAGGTCCGCGGCCCTGGCCGCGACGCGCGCGGCGCGCTTTATCTTCGCACCCCTGCTGGCGGTCACCTCGAGGGTGGAAGATCCTGGGACGCGCAAGTTGAAGCCGAAATCGGAGGACCATCACAACTGCAGGGGGGACAAACAATGACATGAGCATAAAAACTCAGAGGTCCGCGCGAAATTCTCGGATCGGCGCTGGAGCCCCCTGGCGGCGCCTCGGGCGCCGCCCCTGGCGCGCTCCGCGCGCCAAGCAGGGTGGTCCAACGCCGATCCGAAAAATCCGCGCGGATCGCCGACTTGTTATGTGTATGTCATTGTTTGTTTCCCATCAGCGGCTATGGGCTAGGATGGGCTGAAAAGCCAGGGTGCAAGGGTGCCCTCGGAAAACTACTGATCCGTATGACCGTGGTTGACTGCACTCGCGTGCAACGACTCTCTGGAACTCTCTGGTGCCGTGATCATGCCACAATCTCCCTTCCGTTGCAAAACTTCTGCACGCGGAGCTCGGGGGCTGACGGAGTCCTCACGTACAGGCAAACATGGGGTCACAAGAGTGCGAAAGAAAGATGCCAAGCCGTCGGACGTCCACTGGGAAACCACTGCAACGGCATCGGCCCATCACTCTGGGGTGCATGGCAATGTGTCGGAGACGCGCGAACGCAGATGTGGCCATGAAGAAGCGCTGCGTCCTTGCCAAAGGCACTGACCGTCCGTGCGGGCGTAGGAGAGCGAGGCGGAGGACGAGGACGAGAGGGCGCAGGGGGCGAACGAAGAAGACGAGTCCAATGCTGCCCTGCCTCCCCCCCCGCCGACGACGTCGCCGCCGACTATGAGATCGAGCTTCGGAGTGAGGATGGAGCCCTCTCCCGTCGCGGAAGCCGCCGGGTACTTCCACAGCCCCAGGAAGGACGGGCCGAGCTCGTAGATCACGTTGCCTCCCCTCTTCCCGCGGCTGGTTCGTGTCGTGACGACCTCGGCGCCGGTTTCCGAGACCGCGTGAATCGTTCAAACTGGAACGCCCGCGCTGGGGTCGCTGCCACTTCGACACGACGCGAGCCTGCCGCAGCCGAGGGCGCTGCTCGGGGAAACCGGGAGGGAGCAGGCACCACAACTTGGGTCGCGGCCATGCGACAGACGCGAGCAACGTTGCAGACACGACTGCTCCGACAGCGACGCCGGCGAAGACCCCGGCTCCTCACTCCTCCTCCTCCTCCTCCTACTCCTCCTCCTCGTCCTCCTCCTCCTCTTCTTCCTCCTCCTCCTCCTCCTTCTCTTCCTCCTCCTCCTCCTCCTCCTTCTCTTCCTCCTCCCCAGACGCAGGGTCGTGATGGTGCATGATTTCGAACCTCTGCAGCTCGGTGGGCGCTCGAACCACGAGTGGAAGGAGGGGGCGGTACCTCCGACGGTGTCGGGCACAGTCGGGCTTCATTGGGCAGGACACGCGAGAGGACACAAGATCCTTCTGAGGGCCACATTGCCACAGGAATGTAAGAGGCATGGATCGCGAGCCACAGGACACAAGAGTACCCTTGATTTGGCAGGGTCGACCTACTAATCCGGGCCGACTGCAAAGGTGAAACGGCAAGAGCGGGTGGAAGCTGTGGAGGACGAAGGCAGGAAATGGTAATGGGGGAGGAGGAAACAGATGGACGAGCAGGCGGAGGAGGCATGATCAGAAGGAGAGAACGGAGGCGGGCTGGGAAAGGAGGAGGAGGGCGAGGACAAGGAGGTGGGGAGCTCCCGATTCGATGTGGGCATTGCGGATGGCGTACCTCAGTGGGAAGGGGATGGATGAAGGAGTGAGGAGGGCGGGACCAAGGCAGAAACAGTGGCAGGGAGGCGCCGACAAGGAGCGAGGGGAGACGAGCGCGTTTCACGATCCGTAAGAAGAAAACTACTCGCAAATGGCCTGGATCCGCCGCGGGGGGATTCACAATCCATTACACTGAGGTAACATGTGATTCTCGGACGTTTGCGAGTAGGCACTGTGCAAGTAGTGGAGCGCGCTCGGTGAGAGGGGCATTACGCCAAATGACGTCGGATTTCGTCGGAATTACGTCAGACTTACGTCGGACTGGCGCAGGAGCATCGCCGCGCAAACGTAGACCCATAACGTACAGAGCTGACGTGTGGACTCAGTATAACAACTATTGCGCGCCGCGCGAGGCATGTAGGATTTTCCTCATAAGGAATGGGTGGGGCGCGGGCAGGGAGCGAGGGGATGAGATTGGGACTGCAAGACACGGCGAGAACGACAGCTGGATCGAGCTGCCCGGCACTCCGCCAGCCCCTGTCGGCGCCTTCCAACAGCATGGTGGAATTGAGCTTCGACGCCAGCGGCACCTGGCTGCTGCGAGCGCCACGAGCACGGCTGCTATCCGAAGCGGGAAGCCCCTCGCCCTCCCCCACGACCCACGACCCCCACGACCGCCCCCTGCATGTCCCTCCCCTTGCCCAGAGGCGCTTGCAGCTCAGCCGTGCAGTGGCATCGCCAGGGCCCCTGCGAGGTGCACCGGATGCGCCTCCAGGGCGTCCGGTGCAACGTGCAACACCCGGCGGGAACAGACTGCGCAGCAGCACGACTCCTGCAGCTCACCATGTGCGACGACGACGACCTCTCAATGACCGACGCCCGCACGGACCCCGAAGCACCGCGCCTCCCCCGGGCCCCCTCGCGCCGTGAGAGAAACGCACGACCGAAAGCGCTTGGCCACCGTCGGCCTCTGCGGGGGCCCTGGCCCAGCCCTGGGACCGCCAGAGACGGATCGGGATGCAAAGCCGAGCCCAGGGAGGTTGCCGAGACGTCTCCTGCTGCTCGAGTCAGGCCTCCAGCCTCGCTGCTCCAAGTCTTGCCACCCACCCTGCTCCTCCCTCTCCCGCTTCCCGTTGTGAATGTCCCCTCCCTGCCCTGCTCCTCGCCGTCGTCCTGGCCCCCGCCCGTGCTCCTCGCCTCTCCGACCCCCGGAGAACCCTGGCCGCAGACGGAGGACATCGCCACCGAGCCTTCTGCACGGTGGTGCGAGGCGGGTGACTCACGACAGAGCCACCGCCTGCGGCTCCGGATGAATCCCCGCCAAGAGATAGATCGGCAATGACTCGTCGACAGATCGGCGATCGGCCCCCGACGGGGGGCACCCCGAATTCCTGGGCGGGGCGGGGGCTGTGTGTTGCCCCGGGTCCACATCGGCGAGGAGCGGGCGATTGGGGGCCGATGCGTTTCGAGGGACCCAAGGACACACAAATACATACACACAAAAACAAGATTCCCCCTATTTTCCAATAATGTCTGGGCTTTTGTCTTCCTCCCCACTTCCCATATTTTCCAATATTTTCTAGGGGATCGACGATTCATTGTGTCTGTGTGTTTTTGTGCCCTCCTGAGCGTTGCCCCCCCCCCCCCTGTTGTCGTTGCCCCTGATGCGAGAGGCTGCCAGGCCATAGCTCGGCCCCCCAGCGGCAGTTCGGGGCGGCCCTGGCATCCCCGGAAACGCCTTCGGCGAGGCGCCGCTGCGGGAGGGCCTCCCGAGTTGGGCAAGCCGCCGAGACTGAACAAACCCGCCTAAAGCCTCGAACCCCGAACCCCGCACATCCGACGAGATCAACTTTTCAACAGCAAGGCCCAATAGGTCCCAATAGGTCCCGACCCATTCCCCATGGGAAAATGTGCCTCCCCTATCCATGTTTGATAGCACCGGGGCCCAAGATCAGCCCAAGTGAAGCCGACATCAAGGAGAAACGCCAGGATTGAAAATATCATATCGTCGGAGATCTGGGCCACCTGTCGAACAACCTAACCCCCAGAGTCATCCCCTCCAGAGGGGCAATGCTGGGAGGTTAGGAGGCAATTCGTGGGGGTCCTGAACTTGAATTCCCAAATTTGGACGCCGGCAGTGGGTATGGACAGAAACTTGGAACGATGCCGAACAGCACATGTGGCCTCCAACCGACGAGATCGACCGCTGTTGGGCAGGCGACCTGATATCCCAAATGGGCAACGTCCGCGGCGGCACGACAGCGAGTCCGGTTCAAAATGACCAAGAACTGATGTCGGTGGTTGTGCCCGCTCTAGGAACCGGAAAGGCGACACCAGCACCAACAGGGCGAGGAGATGCGCGGAGGCAAGGGGGGCCTCCCTGGTGGCGTGGTCCCCCCCTCTCGCTCCATACATTCCCCGCGTCTCCCGCTCGGCACGGCGGACGAGAGCGGGCTCACAGTGTGCACGCAGGGGCGCCAGCAGAGGGGACGGGCAGTCGCCCGTGCCGATCGAGGCCGGGGCGCCCCACCTGGCCTTTGAACGTGGCGGTTCCCCACCAGGCCATCGTTCCCCCCCGGAGCGAGTCCCCCCCCCCGCCCGTTGGCCTCCCCCCGCGTGCGCTCCACCCCCCACAGCCCCCGCAGGCCGCCAGGAGCTCTGCGATTCCCGGGAGGTGTCCACATCCCATCTGATCTGCACTGGTCTCGTTCGAGCACTGTCGATTGCCGTTCGTCAGGCGCACGCAGGCCGCCAGCCGCGTCGCTCACGACCTCCTCGCTGGAGGTGGGCAACCTGGTGGTGTTGGTATCGCTTCTCCTCCCTCCGACACTCTTTCCCTACCCATTGCGACCGTGCCGCCTCACCTGGCCCCCGGGCGTCGCAGAAGAAGACTCCCGCGATGGCTGGCCTCCCCAAGGCCTCCCGAAGAAGGAACATGAACTGCTGTCGGTGTTCATGCCCACGCTTTTCGGGCCGGGCGACAGGGGGGGATAGCAAAATGGGGGGTCGAGAATCAGCTCACGCAGATGATTTTCCCGGCGCCTCCCGGCGCTAGGAGGCGCCCACGTATCGAGGTATGGGCCCGGCGGCGGGGCCGAAACCAGCTGCATGCAGCAGATGTCGTACCCTCACCCTTTCCCTATCCTCCCCTTTCGTTCGGCCGATCTTTCTGTACCCCTTTCGATCGTACCGAAGGGACGTTTGTGCAACAGTGTTTCTTATGTCGTTTTTATTGTGATGTCCTTGCTTCCTATTCTGTTTAAGCACTGCAAAAACAGCCAAATAACGTGTGGTGAGAATAATCTGCTGCTACGCAGATGATGAAAAAAACAACTGGAAACTGACAAATTCTTTTGTCGGGCACTGCGCCGCCCCGAAGGCACTTCCGAAGTGCCTTCGGCCTTCGGCGCGCGCGCGGCGCAGTCTGTTCGGCGCCGCGTTTGCGCGGCGCCAACGTAAACTGCCACGCCGCCGCCCCGATTTGGCCCCGGCGGCGGCGCGTCGTAGGAGCGCCCGTTGCGGGTGAGGCGGAGGGCCGCGCCCTTCAGGGCGCCCGGCTCCTTCAGCTTCTCGGCGACGTCCTGCGCACCGCTGAGCCGCTGAGGGGCAACGAACGATCGGGGGGGTGGATAGGCACTATGTAAGATGCAGGGCTGAGCCTGAACGGTGTTTTTCGTTATCGTTTTGTTTTCGTTGTCCCTCGCCTTTGTCTCGAATCCGCCTTTACCGCAAAACGAAGTCGAAACGAAAACGGCCCACGACATCACCAAAAACACCGTCTCTAGGTCCAGCCCTGGTAAGATTAAGGGGGGGAACGGTTGACAAAATAGTCCCCGAATCATCGGCTTCCACTTCGCTGCGGCTCCGTCTGGCCCGTCGACTGTCCAGGCGCACGCCCGAGGGAGGGCGGGAGGGAACCACCAAACACGCAGTTTCCTGGCCAGGGTAGTGTGAACAAATCATCTTCCTGGGCGCCGCCGCGTGAACACGACCCTCAATATCATCCTGCGTTCGGGGGGGATGCATCGACCTCGAATAGCCGTTACTTCGCCGATGTGTCGTCGATACAGCGTCGATCTCCCTCTGTACGTCTATACGTCCGTATATCGTCGATGCATTGCGCCGATATCAAGATGCATCGTCGAAGCATCGTTGATGTATACATCATTCGAGGTCGATGCATCCCCCCTATGCCTGTCCACACCTACCATTGTCCCCGAACCGCGCGGGGGCGGATCCCGGAGGGCTTGACGACTTTTCGCCGATTGACTGATGGGGCCAAGGTAAATTCAGGTACAACTCCTGACATATCCAGGTATATCCAGAGACCTCCAGGGACAGTTGGAGCCAATCGTGGCCACTCCAGCGCGGGTCGATGGACGGCAGAAAATGTTCAGCCCCGAACGAGCGGAGGAGAGAACCCAGACATCCCCCGGACCTCACCCGGGGTGCGTCCTAACCAAGACTTCGAGGCGAATCCAGCGGTGGTGACGCCACGGAAATGGGGCTGTGCATCAAACAAACGAAGGACTCGATTGAAATATGAAAAGCCAGTCTCATGGTCGAGTCGAGGGGTCGAGTCCTCTGAGGGTCCACGTTGTGAAAGAAATCACCAGAGGTCTGGAGGTGCCTCGATCCCGACGACAGTAGAAATAGTACAATAACAGGCAGAACACATCGGAAACCTCTGAGAGCCGGCGGAACTAGAAGACAATCACGTCAGGCGCCAAAGGCTGCACCAGAGCGCTCTGAGAATGCTTTGGGACTGGAGCGCTCTCGAACGGTTCATCTTATTCTTGGGCTGCATGGTCGATCTTCGCTTTGGACTCCCGACATGAGTAAGGAAACATTGGGTACGATGCCCAACAGCAAATGGTGTCCAAAACCGACAGCGGCCGCTTTTGGGCAGGCGGCCTCCTGTCTCAAATGGACAGCGCCCGCGGCGACGCCAACAACGGACCCTTTTCAAAATGGACAAGACTGCTGCCCGTCTTCGCATCTAATTACTCTTTCCGTATCCATTTCGATCGTGCCGATTTTCCTGACCCCCAGGCGTCGCGAAACAAGACTCTTGCGATGGCCGGCCTCCCCAAGGCCGGGCCCTCAAAGGCCCGTCGAGGGGGTGCGGGGGCCGTCGAGGAACTGGCCAGCATGAGGAACTTGTTGTATTCTTCGTTTTCATCTCCTTTCATTTTTCTTTTTCTACCTCTTCTTCTTCCTCCTCCTCCTCCTGGCCAGCATGAGCTCGGGAGCGGCCGAGAGGGGGGCGTCCAAGAGGGGGGGGTACAAATCATGACCAGCGGCACGTGCGCGGCCCAGCGGGGGGGCCAGGGACGTAATGAAACAAGAAGAGGCGCCATGAGATCTGGGGAAATACCATGGCCCCCGCCATGATGTCCACCCCCCCCTAGTCATCACCCCCTCTTTTCCGCCCCCGATGAGCATGAGGAGCCCCCAAGATACTGCCGGGATTACAGGGGCCTGCCCTCGCCGCGCCAAAGCGGGGTGGCGGCGGCAGGCGGGCGCGAGCACTGGGGCCTCGGGTGGAGCTCCCGGCGGGGCAGCGAAACGCGTCGGGGGTGCGCGAAGGGGCAGGAGGCTCCCGAATCGAATCGGTAAGTCAGGTCGGCGATCGAAACGAACCCGATCTGCGGAGATCGGCAGCCAAATCGGAAGAAACCGAGTCGGTGGAGACAGATCGGCAGGCCAATACGGCCTCCATAGAGACATCGACACCGGAATCCGAAGTCGAATCGAAGCATAATCGAAATCGATCGAAGTCGAATGGAATCAGAACCTGAATCGATCGAAGTCGAATGGAGTCCGAGGGTTCGAAATGGGAGAACAAAAAGCCGACACCAGCACCAAGAAAGTATTTGTTTCACGAAATGTCGAATTGCGTTTTGGACCAGCGCGAGCCCGCCCTGGCCTGAGGAATCGCAGAGTGGGCGAGGAGGACGGGGGAGGGGAGACGTCGCGCAGCACGCAAGAGGGAAAGCAGGAAATAACAAGTGCAAGCGAGAAGCGAATCTAGCGGGCGCTCTCGGGGGAAGAGGGAGAGAAGAGGGAAAGCTGCGGCATCCCCCATGGCTGAAGCTTCACTCCCCCCACCGCCGCCCTCCACCACGCCAGCCCCCGCCCGCCCGCCCCCCTCTCATTCCCCCCACCCTTCACCCACCCTATGTCCGCCCGCGTCGCATCCCTGACCCTCGTTTGGCCCGACACCAAGGCCCGACGAGTTCGAATCCGCCGCTCTCTGTGAAAGGGGGCGGTGGCCGCCCGTCGCGGCCTGGGCATAAGACCGTGGCCCCCTCTTGACCCAAGCCCGCAGCCCGTGGCAAGCTTCCGAAATCGTCGAGGGGTTCAGCTCGCACATGGGGCCGCCGTTCCAGTGGGGGTCTTGGTGCTGGTGTCGGCTTTTTGATGTTGCAGGGAACAAAAAGCCGGCACCAGCACCAAGACGCCACTGGAAAAGTTCGGAGCGTTTTCCCTGTGGGGGCTGAGCGACCCAACGAAGCCAAGAAAGCTTGAGATGGCTCGCATTGCTCTCCGACTTTGCAAGCCACGGTGCTTCCATGATAGGGAAACGTCCCATGCAGCTCATGGCGCCCCTGAGGCCCACGGGGCTCCCATGGCCCGCGGGGTTTCCAAGGCTCAGAAACCAGATGTGGCCCTGACGAGTCAGGGTGCCAATGGTGCCCGCGCGGCATGCTGGGCCAGCGCGGCGCGTTGGGCTTATGCGCGCTGCGGCGCACGTTCGGCCCATGAAGCCCTTTGGGGAACTTGTGGGGTTCATGGGGCTGGCTGGGTTCGCACGGAACGCGGGACTCGCGCGGCCCATGGAAATCCGAACGCTCACTTGGGGAACTGGAGACGGCCCGTTATGTTCCCACACGCTCAGAGCTGGCATTCATCAACTCTGGACACGCGAACCCGAAGACACGGGCGACGGCATTCAACAGAGGCTGCAATGTTTTCATTTCTAGTGGTTTCTTGGTGTTGGTGTCGGGTTCCTGTGCGCCGACGAAACGAGCCCTGCAGGGGGGGATGCCCTGGGCAAGCCACACGCCTGGGAGTGCGTGCCCCTCCCTGGAGCGCGTTCCAGGCGCAGGCCAGCGCGGATCAGAGGAGGTAGCCCTCGAAACATGCAACAACTACCGCCCGATGTGGCGACGGAGCGCTCATATGTTTTTGTTGTGTGTGTGTTGGTTGTTGTTTTTTATATATGTTTGTTCCCTACCTAGGCTCTGCCTAGAAGGGTTCTTACTCTGTTAGCTAAAGGGGCCGGGCAGTGCAACATGCCCCGGGTGGTTCCCCCAGTCCCCGCCCCGCGGCTCCCCCAGTTGCGCCCCCTGGGTTCACCCAGCTTAGCTTCGCTTATCTTATCTCATCTTAGCTTAGCTTTGTCTAGCGCAGCTTGGTTTAACTTAGCTTAGCTTAGCTTAGGTTAGCTTAGCTTAGCTTATCTCATCTTAGCTTAGCTTAGCTTGGCTTGGCTTGGTTTGGCTTAGCTTAGCCTAGCTTAGCTCAGCATAGCTTCGCTTACCTTAGCTTAGCGCAGCGCAGCATAGCGCAGCGCAGCATGAGCACCGCATAGCATAGCATATCATGACCAAACATATCATAGCATATCATAACATAGCATATATCATAATAACAAAGCATATCATAGCATAGTATAGCATAGCATCGCATAGCGCAGCACAGCACAGCTTAGCAATGCTTAGCATAGCACGGCATATCATAGCATAACATAGCATAGCGCAGCATAGCATAGCATAGCATAGCATAGCAGGGCACAGCATAGCATAGCATAGCGCTGCATCGCATATCATATCATAGCCTAGCATATAATAGCATAGCGCAGCATAGCATAGCATCGCATAGCGCAGCATAGCATTTCGTAGCATAGCGCAGCATAGCATAGCACAGCATAGCCTGCTATGCTAGCATAGCCTCCTATGCTCCTAGGAAAGTGCATATGTAGATGTAGGTGTAGGTGTAGATGTGGATGTAGGTGTAGATGTAGATGTAGACGTAGATGTAGGTGTAGATGTAGATTTAGATGTATATGTGAGTCTCGCTGTTGATGTTGATGTAGATGTAGATGCAGATGCAGGTGTAGACGTACATGTAGCTGTCGGTGTAGATGTAGATGTTGCTTTCCTAAATGCTCCAACTCCTAGGTAGGGTCGCACTGGGATAATTTGATCCTAGCGGCGCGGAGTGCGGCCTGAAATGAGAAATCCACACGGGGCACCGCGCTTAGGGCCAAGCCATCCACGAGCAAGCATCCCCTGCCCCGCCACGAGCCCAAGACGGATGAGCCGAATATGCAAGGAAACGGGACTCCGCCGCTATCCGCGCGCCCGAGTCAATCTTTGCGCATCGTCGTCTCCACCCGTCACCTTCGTGGTCCCCCTGGCGATTGCACCGATTGAGCGCTGGCGCGAGCCACGCGAGGGGACTCTACTCGCGGCGGCTCGAGTTCACAGGGGAAGGGTCACATCGCATATTCGTGTGCCCTCTCCCCTCACACCCCGCACTCCCATCCCATCCATCCCATCCCCTTCTCACCCGTCCCATCTCCCGTTCTCCGCGTTCCCCCGTCCGCTTCCCCCTCCCAGCCGACGTAATACTCCCCATCCGCACTTCCTGCAACCCTGTCGTCAGCCTCGGCTTCCTCCTCGTTCTCCCCCAGGCATCCGACGTTGAGATGTTCTAGATAAATCTGCCCATTGAACTCTCGACACACTTCCCAGGACCAACTTTTCATCCTGTGTAGTGATTCGGCCATTCAGGGGCCCAGAAACTGTCCCAGACGGGGAAAGCAAACCAAAGCATCTACCAGCACAAAATGCATTCGAGTCACAAGAAATATGGGTGCTCATCAATTCACCGTTTCCTTCCGCGTTCTTCGTCGCGACCCTCGAACATGTCTGGGGACGCTTCGAGGCTTGGCTGGCCGTGGCGACCGAGAGCGCCCCAGGAGGCCCGAAAAGGTAGAGAAGCGTGGAACAACCTGCATCCGCGATCCTCCTCCGTCTTCCTCCTTCTGTGGCACCGCATGGGAGCCTCCAGTGCCATCCTGCTGGCATTTGCGAATCGACGCTCATCGACACTGCATCGACGCTACGTCGAGGAGGAGGAGGGCAGGGAGACAGGACACAGGCTGCCATAGGTAGGCTGCCATAGGTAGGACAGGGAGGAGGTTCCACCTAGAAGACATGTATAGGCTGCCATAGGTGAGACAGGGACATAGGTAGGCTGCCATTAGAAGACATCTGAGGATCGGATCCCATAGGCAGGACAGGGAGGAGGAGGAGGAGGAGGAGGAGGAAGAGGAGGAAGAGGAGGAAGAAGAAGACCTCCCCAGTCTCCCGTCTCCCCCGTCCTACCGATGGTAGTGGAGGTGGAACATTGGCCCCTGTCTCTGGTGACAACAAGCCCTTGCCCCTGTGGCTTGACCAAGGACCCACGCCTCATCCCGAGCCGCTCTTGACGGTCCGTTCAGGGAAGAGCCCCGGGGAGCCTGAACATGGCGAACGCACTTCCAGGACCACCCCCCTGCTCCAAGAGCACGCTGTTGGGTCGCAGCGTGAGCATTTGGGCGGTGAGAAGGAAACTAAGAGGCGATGTGTCGACCCCTGTCACAAGCTCCGTGAGGTTTCGGAACGGACCACACATTTTGGGCCCAACCCTGGGACATGCGATGGGGGGCGTCCATCCTCAATAGGGGTGCGTTAGAGTGCCCCCTTGGGGGGTATTCCAGAGTGCCCCCCTTTTCTGAGCGGCCGAACTGTTCGGACTGAACTCGGGGATTGGGGGAGAAATATCGCCCTCGAGGAGCGGCACGACAGGCCAGGCGTAACGTCTTTCCCACTTAGGCCGCTCAGCAGTCTCAACCACTTTGGAGCTTCCTCCGCTCCGCCAGCCTGGTGCCTGCCCAACAGGTGAGCGGTCGGACGTCCATTCCTCATGCACTGTTCGGTTTCGTGAGTATTTTTCGCAAGGTCACCCAACATGCTCCTCGATGATCCTCGCCGAGACGAAAATGCACACGTCCGAGCGATGCCCAAGTGAGCGATCCCACTTCATCATGGCGGCCCTCTGTCCCACTCCGCCGTCGGATGCCAGGCCACCCCCACGGGGCCTCAGGGGCTCCCAGGAGCTCCCCCAGGGGGGGGGGGCGCAGGTGTTGCCCAGGAGCTTTCGCTTGCCGTCGCTCGGAGGTCCAGCCCCCGTGCAATTCTCGGTTTCGTGCGATGCACAATCGCAAGACGATCCGGGATGCCCCTCAGTGGTCCTCGCCGAAGCAATGCGCACGTCCGGGCGATGCCAAGTTCAAGGGCACCCAGGAGTTCCCGAGGGAGGGGGGCACGGCGCGCTCCCCAGACGCGGTCACAGTGGGGAAGCGCAGGCTGATGCTCTTGGTCTGGCTCTTCAGGAAGTTCGTCGGGGACGACTCGGCGGTTGGGGGGAGGGTCGAGGACCGACGTTCCAAGAGTTCGACGAGGCGGAGGAAGAGGAGAAGGAGGAAGAGGAGGAGGGGGTGAGAAAGAGATGGAAGGTCGCAGATTCCAAGGACCGAGGATCTGGGAGGACAAAGAGTTCGAGGCTCGATGATCCAATGCACTCTTCGGGGACCTCCGCGGGAACGGTCCCGTGAGAGACACCTGGAGACCTTCTCCGTCTCGGCCTCCTTGAGGCGTCCTCGTCGCCCGAGGTTGGATCTGCCTCGCCCTATTTGGCCAGGACGCAGCTAGGAACACGTCCAGGAGGGAGATGTTGAGGGGGGGCAGACCACCACACCCCGGAGCAAGTCCAAAGGCCGATTTTGAGGGGGAGAGCCGAGTGCCCCAAACCACCGCACACCAGAAACAGGTCCAGGGCCCGATTCAGAGGGGGGATGGCGCAGGGCTGCCGAGCGGCGAGGAGATCATGACGGCCGTTGTGATAAGTTGTTCGCCTGGGACCGTCTGAAAACAACCCAGGATGAAACGGTGCCCAAGATGGAGTCGAGAGGTCTGGGGGCCATGTCACGAGAAAATCGTGACTTCGGGCGGCTAAGGGAAAAGGCACGATGAGATGTACTTACCCGGTATCGGGGCACGGAATGGTGGAAGACGCACACAATGGATGGCAGAGGACGACAACACGGAATATGAAAACAAGGAAGAGCGGGATCATGAGCCCGAGACTGATTGGCATGGGGGAACAAAGGTCGAGGAGGATGATCGTAAGGAGGAGCACGACCAGGAGGAGCAGCAAGACGCGGAGAGAGTACACGTGGTGAGGGATATCAGAAGGATGCGTTAGAGATGGGGGAGGTAGACGAGCAAACCACAACACCGTTAAGCACAAACTCTCGGAACTCCGCGCATATGTCTCTCAAACTGGCGCGGGAGCCCCCTCCCCACACCCCTCGCGCCGGGAGCGGCAACAGAGACGCCGCCCCCGGGGTGGCGGGGGACGAGGGGTCCAGCGTCGTCCCAAGATATCCGCGCGGGCCTCGGACAGCTTATGCTTACGGCTTTTGTCCGAGGGGTGAGGCCCTGAAGGGGGGGCTGGAGATGGAGGCCCCCCGGCCCGTCCGAGCACCCCTCACGAGGCCCGAGGGGGCACCAGGGGGCCAACAAAACGACACGATGAGCCCGGGACACCCTTGGCCCGGAAACGTCTCCGCCGGCATGAGAGACGCCGGTCCCCGAGGGAGACTGGCCCTGGACCCGTGGGCCTTCCAGCAGGACGGGCGTCTCGTCCCGCATCGTCTTCGGTCCCCGGGGGAGGGCGGGGGGCCCAGGGGAGGTAGTCAAAACGCCGCGAGAAACCTCGGGGCCCGTTTCCGACGGGTCTCTTTTGCTTTTGACGGCACCCCTCCAAAATTGCCCCCCCCCCCCCCCTCCCCACCCCACCCCCTGGACCTCTCCAGGGTCGTGCCGGGCGAAAGGGGGGGATAGCAAAGACGGGGTTTGATAATCAGCTCACGTAACTGATTTTCCCGGCGCCTCCTGGCGCCAGAGGCGGCCATGTATCGAGGAATGGGCCCGGCTGCGGGGCCGAAACCAGCTGCACGCAGCAGATGTCGTACCCCCCCCCCTCTCCCTGTCCCCTCCTTTCGTTCGGCCCGACAGGGGTGCGTTGCGGCACAAGTTTTCAGGAGAATCCGGCCGCGACGGCGAGGACGCTCCAGAGGACTAGCAACACACCAAACTCCATCCTTCGACCCTTCCTGCGGAGCAGACCGTCCCGGCATTCCTCAAAAGGCCCACCACGAGATTTTCCTTAGAACCAAAAGCTGCTCTCAGTACGAAACCGATGTTCTCAGAACATGATGCCAGTGAACAGTAGGGGCCCGACCACAAGAAACCTTCCAAAAGAAACCCAACCCTCAGACCCCAGGACGTCGATTGATTTTTTGGTGTGGGAACGTTCTGCTTTCCACAGCAACACCATCGAAACCCGAGAAACCCAGGACACCCTGGAGGCAAGCAGGGTGGTGCTTGGCATGGGTCACACCTGTATCGGAACAAAACGGTCCAAACCCGAAATGTTCGAAGAACAGCGCGGGCACACCGCGACAAGTGCTTGCCACACTCTGGTGGGCCTGAAAGCAGACTGGCGGCCCGTTTTCCTACGGACCCGCTCCTCTCATGGCCACGGGGTCTGGAGATGAAGGCGCGTTGGCACGGCGTAGGGCGGGGAGATCTGCCCACATCCGTCGCCCCTGGCCAAGCCAATGAGACCGTCTCATATTTTTTGGCGGTGACCCAGAATATCCAGTGGGGTGAGGGAGGCGGGGGGGGGGGGCGATAACCTCATCCTTTCGCTTTGGGCGGCCCCCGTGTGCCCGCGCGCACCAATACTGCGCGCCCCCTGTGGACCTACGCAACTGACAAGGTCAGACTATCCGGGGTCCGGGGTGGGGGGGAGGGGGGCGGGCCCGATAACCCGGGTTATCGCCGAACTCTTCTGAGAACAGTATATCCACCCTCCCTGCTTGCCAGGGGGGGGCATATACGCAGCTCGTGGGCCCAGGCTGGGTCTTGCCGGGGGCAGTGGAGATATGGCGGGTTCTGGGAGCCCCGAACCCAAAAACCTTATCACCTCTTGGAAGACAAGTGATTCTCCCGCCAGCTTCCACGGACCTTCCTCTGGCTGAGGTAGCCTCGCTTCGCCTTCGCCAACTTCCGCCGACCTCCCGCCGCTCTCCGCAGCGGAGAAGATGACGACCCCCTGCATTCTCGAAGGCGAGGCCCTTTCTGGAACGCCTCATGTGCACGGCCAGGAACTCCTGGACAGCGTGTCGTGGCGGCGGCACCAGCGACGCGCCACGCCCTGCAAGCCGATGGCGTGTCGCTCCGCTCCACGAGGCGGGAGGCCGAGAAACTCAGGCGCAATAGATGGCGGGTCGCACCGACATGGACCAAGAACCACTAGATTTCGTCGCCCTTGGATCATTGGCGCGGCAGAGAGGCCGAGGGCAGCGCGGGGCGCGCGGGGGCGGCGCCGAGAGCACCACCGCCAGCTCCACCTGGACGTCCTCATCGCGCGCGGGGGCCCCCCCTACCTCTCACCTGAGCTGCCCCACGAGCGGCCCTCCTCCCCCTCTTCCTCCCCCTCCTCCCTCTCCTCCCCCATCCTCCTGTGGCGTGACGTAAAGGGTACGTGCAGGACTGGGTTAACTTATGGAGGAATCGTTCAGAGAAGCATAATAGATATCGCCGGTCGTGGCTTGCAGTCCGCGACCGTCTTGCTAGCATGGCGCCCGCGGCCCGCTGGCGCCACGTCGCTGGCCCAATGGCGACTGTCATCGCGACCCTGTTCGAGATTTCCTGGGAGGCGGTGGAAGCAGATAGATGGCATGACACTGCTGGGAACGTGTACGCCATCACCCCAGATCCAGTAGACATGCGGGATTCTTGGACGTGTTCACGAGTGCAGTGAGGAAGCCATTGTGGCAACGAGCGAGCATTCAATATCTGGGCGAAGGCTTCTGCGACGGTGCCGCTGTAGAAGTTCCTCGCAAGATGCTTCGACAGTGCCAGCGCCGTAGGCAACGAGTGCTGGCGTGCTTATGACGGTGCTTGCAGGTGGAGCTTGATGTGGTCAACGGTGTCGCGATGCCGGATACTTGACCGATGGACTGTGCGAGTGCGGCGCACTGGAGTCTGAGTTCCATCGCAGCTGGTAGTGCGTGCTCATTGTCACGGAGCACGATGGCGTTGCGGCCTCTCAAACATGGGTCCACCAAACCAGGACGCAACATGTTCGCGGGCTCGCGCCGCAGGCCTGGATGGATGTGCCCGCCGCCGCTGAATGTCCCTACCTCCATGCGTAGGGCAGTTTTGGGCAATTTGGCACGGGCGGCATCGTCGACCTCACCGCCCATCCTTACAACACGTGGTATTCGTCTGGTGGCGGTTCGGGTGGTCCAGATAACAATTCTGCGACCCTCTGGCGCACGGCGTGGACTCTCATCGCGACTGCGGAGGTGGACGGCCAGTGGCAATCTCAAGGTGGATGGACTCAGGCCATGGTGGGCCCGCAGACGGTACCACGGTCTGAGCTGACTCCTTGTCATGTGTTTCTTCGGCGCTCGTCGGGACCAGGCATACACCATACCGATCACAAAAACTTGGCAGGTGGATGTGGGTCGGGCCAGCCCCACCACCCATATGGTGCAAATACCGCTGACCTGTGGCACTCAATCGGGCATGCGCAGCCGTGCTGGCACTGCGGGAGTCCGAAAATTTCGTTCGCTTCACGGGGAGATCGAAGCCGTCGACGTCTTCGACTATGTAGAGGTTCGCGACTGGGTCGGCAATACCATTGCAGACCGTTTTGCTGATAGCGAGGCGGCGCAGGCGCGCGTCCCGTCTCAAGACCATACGAGTTGGCATGTGACCGTCAAAGGATGCTTCTTAAGCGCATGTTGGCGGTGCACAAGCAGAGCTACTCCACGCAGCGTGCAAAAGCCGCACCTCCTGAGCGCCAGAAGCGGCTCACCCTACAGGAACGTAGGAATCAGGCGATTGCACAATCTTCGCACGTGGAGGTGGAAGGCAGCCTTGGATACTCGTGCACGGCCTGTGTGGAAACCGTGCGGTTTGCAGGTGCGGTATCTTGGCTTCAGACACCTCGCAGCAACTTGCAGCCGCCAGTGCTGGCAGCGCGGCGACGAAGCCCAGCATCAACAGCCCGTGCGGAAGGCTGGACCACAGCGACGACGCCTGCGGGAGCACGACGACGCCTACGGGGAGGACGTTGGGCAGCATCATTCACGATCAGCGGGGTCCTCATCAAATGATGTGGTGGACCCTTCTTGCAAGCGTGTGGAACTGATACACGCCACTGTCGACCTGATACGGAAGAGGAAGCGGCCGAAGGCGGAGAGACGCTTGGAACAGCAATTATTGCTGGCAACTCGGAGGTGCAAGAGTCGCATCATATCATGTTGGCCCGCGGGCTGATGTGGTGTCGTCGGTGTGGATTCTCCATAACGTGCTCAACCAACCGCAAGAGCTCGTGCAAAAACCTTCAGAAATTGTGGTGGCCGCCGACCCAAGCTGGTACAAGCTACCTACGCCGCTTGGGGGACGATCTGATGCCAAAGGCCACCTACGACACGTGGCCAGACGGCACGCCAATCCGAGTCCAGAGGCGCACCCGGGTTCCAGACTGATCTAGACAATCTGTTTGGATATCTTAATTGATGCACTTCATGGTGTGAATGGGCGGCCAAGGCCTGCTGTCCCGAACCCGCTCTGCAACTGGTGGCGCGCTCTCCTCCCCCTCCTCCACCTCCTTCTCCTCCCCTTCCTCCTCCTCCTCCCTTTCCTTCTCCTCCTCCTGCTCCTGCTCCTGCTCCTCCTCCTCCTCCTCCTCCTCCTTCCCCGTAACCTTGTTTTCTCAAAACTTTGTGGTTCAGGCCGTGAGGTCGAGGGGCAAATTCGCTGGCGGTCTGCCCCAACGCGCTCCTTGCCGCTGGGCGCCCTCTCCTGGCGCCCCTTGTGGCGGCCGTGACGTCTTCTTCACGGCGTTCGGCAAATCTCCTGCGCCCGCTCGGACTGGTTTTCGATCCGTTCGGCAAATAGCCGCTTCCTCCCAACTGGTCTTCGAAACTGTCGGTGGGTGGCCTGTGCCCGCTCTGGCTGGTCTTCGAGGCGTTCGGCAATCGTCCGCGTCTGCACGGATGGCCTTCGAGAAGTTCGGCAAGTGGCCTGCGCCAGGTTGTCTGTAGCACATTCGCCTCAACGGAGGTCATAACGCAACACTGCTGGGACCAAGAAGGATCATGAGAGGACGCTACGTGACATAACACATTACATTCCTCAACTGCACCGGCATGCTCTTAGGGGCTTCAGGCCAGGCAATTCCCTCTGCCGCGTTGGATACTTCGTCGGGCAATCATTACGCTTGTGATGCCAATCCTCCTTCCTCCTCCTCTGGCGGCAACCTGGATGCAAGACTGGGCGGTTCAGGTGTTGTATAACGGAAAATAACAATGAAGGAGAACGAAACAGACACTGATAGAGAGAACGATGGAGAGCAACCGAGAAGAGTTGAAAGAGGAGGATAAGGGGGGGCGAAAGAGGAGAAGAACGAGGAACACTGCATAGACGCCCCTTAGCATTCAATTGCATTGATTATCGACGCGCTACCTTATCTAACGATCCGTTGGTTGCGTCCTAGAATATGGATGGTAGTAATGCTTCCTGGCAAGCTGATGCCCTGTTTGTTCCCTGGCACGTTGATTATAGTGTGGTGCCCAATTGGATTGATGCACGTGCTGTGCCATGCTGCCCTGGTATTCCTAATATTTCCACCTGTCGGATATCGCTACTTCTTTCATGTTCTATCGGGGTGCCCAACGGATCCGTATGTATTGATTAGGTTGCGTTTCAACTTGTTTTGAACTGTGTTTTGGTTGCGTGCTGAATGGGGTACTCGTGCCTGGCTGTCGGGTTATCGTATTATTTCCAGATGTGTGTGCCCTCTTGTGATCCACTGATGTATGGAATGTGATGGTGTTCCCTGTGGTAAAGCAAAATATGACGATCGCGTCCGACTGAAACCCGACAGACGAACCGTGAATCACATAGAGCATGTAGCCAACACCCACCCGAACGCTTGAATCACGCACCCAACCATAACAAAAACAATCAAAACGCCAAGGAAAACAACCCAACGCTAACCGAAACAGAAACACGTGCGAACCGAATGCGCACACTAAGCGGTCGAATGTAAAAACACATGCCGCAAGCAGAACACGAACCAATAGCTCAACCAGGACGCTCGGAGGTCCAGCAAAAACCAACGACACTGCCAAACACGCATGAGAGGTGCCAGTCGCACGCAAAACGATCCAAACCATCGACGCAATAGACCAGCCAGCCCCATGACAAATAACGACCATACTCGAATACGACATGCACAAAGTGCCGCGCCACCATCCAGGATGTGGGCGCCACGCAAACCCCAAACGCCAACGCGCCAAAGCAGGTGTCAACTCTCGCGCGCCCACGAAATCTTAGCCATAGGCCACTGGTGGTGACAAGGCGGGGGTCGTAACATTCGGTGGCAGGGTTGGGATACTGACATGATTACATTGCCCCCATAACCCGTATGTGCGATGATCTCTTCGTATGGTACAGCGATTTCATGGACGGAAGCAGAAGTTCTGGCAGCGCGGGGGAAATAGGAACCCCTAGTACGTGGCAGTTTTTCCCCGGGGGGGCTGGCGGCTAGATGCGGTCGCGACTTGGGAGATATGGTGAAAAAAACCCATGGCCCCGCAACGCGCTTGCGTCGGGATGGCCGAAACGGCGAATCGCCCAAATCCTTGCTAGACGTTCGCGGCAGCGATGCTGTTCAACAAAAGAAGATCGCCACTTCGATTCGCGCTTCCCCCGGCGATAATACAATTCGGCCCCGCCGCCGCTTCCCCCCGACCAACTCTGATCTGGCCCGGCAAAATCAACTCCAAAAAACAGGGGCCTTTTGTATTATCCGGGGCGGGTTGTTTTAGGATGTAAACGTTTCTCTCCTATTGGACTGATGCCCTTAGTGTCTCATGCTTCAATGGTTCACTGCTTGTGTCCTGCTGCCTTGGATATCTCAACGTTGCCTGATGGGTGCAGTTTTGTAACGCATACTTATGACGTGAACTTCTTGCCGATTCAAATTTCATGGTTTCTCAGAGTGCTTCCAATTGCGTGTCCGTCCTCCACCCCAACCATCGCCGGCCGCCCGCGCAAGCCGCGCGCCGCGCCTGCAGCAGACAGGGCAGCTGCCGCCAGCGCGATCGGCCCCGCAGCGACTGCACAGCCCACGACAGCGACACCTGGCAGACCACCGATGCAACACCAAAGCTCTTCGACTAGAAGGCGCGCCCAACAGTCTGAGTGCCCTGGAATGCCGACCGCGAAACGAATCCTCGAGATCGCATGCTCGCACAACCGCCTGTCTCCACTGGGTCGTAACACAAACAAATCCACATTGGCGTGGCGGGCGCGCGACTAGAGCGCGCCATGGCCAAAG